ATACACCACAGTAATTGAGAGGTGTCTGCCATCGTGCTGGCAGAGGGCATCTTGTGCCCTTATCTGCAGTGCTAAGCACTCATTCATCATTAAACTGCAGCAGTGTTAACATATGCTGCAGTTGTGCTAATGTTTGTTTTACAATCACTGCTGAGGTACCCTTACACCAGCCAAGAAGGTAAGTGTCAAGTGACCAGAAATAAACTGGAGAACAGCACCTAGTTCAACCTCCCTCCACCAAACCAGAAAATCCACTCTCCCCCATCTCAAGGATTCCAATGTAAAAGAGTAAAACGTATAAAGCCCTATAGATGTACAGGAAACTACACTACCTGGATGAAAATATAGTATTTTTATTTCGTGTCCCATGCCCTCCTCTTTGGGAAAACAAATCAACGATGTTAGGCAAGCAGTCAGCCTTGATGATTTTTTCCATCACTCAACAAACCAAAACCTGAAATCACTCATGGGCCAGTTCTTTGCATATCATCTTGATCCAGCAAGGTTAGAATGTTCTCCTCGGGGCCAGTGACCATCTTTTACCTTCTAGAACTCATAGCCCAACTGGTGGTCAACTGGCAGAGGAAATGAGCTAAGTTGGACAGTTGTATGAGTATGAGAAGGGCTAGCTTCACCTCCCTGAATTTCGCCTCTGCTAAAAGTTCATTAAGAGCACCAAAAACTACCTGATTTGTAGGCACTCAATATTACCCACTAAAAGGTTGAATTATGAGCAACAATCATAAACAGAAGAAGCCAAAGGTAAACTCCCATACAAGATATTTAGGAGATTCAGTGTTTTATGTTGCTTAATCAGTAAACGGCAGATCAGGAAAAAAAGACAAAACTTGTTTTCAGGTTCTTTAATACACAACTAATTTAATAAATATTTATTTCAAGTAACAGAGATTCAATAGATTTCCCATCTTACACAGGATTCAGCCTGAAATAACTCAAAAGTGGGGAATTCTTGTTGTTTAGATTCTCATCAAACCTTTCAACCCATGTGAAAATGCTACTGCAATCACTAAGAATTGTATGTAGAGTAAAAGACAGAATAACATAGAAGTCCCTGACTCATAAGTCTTAATGAGTCCAGACTTCCAATTAAATATTCCTTTACACAGGGGTGTCCAACCTGAGGCCCGAGGGCCACACGCAGCCCAGAATGGCTGTGAATGAGGCCCAACACAAAACTGTAAATTTACTTAAACGTTATGAGATTTTTTTTTGCTTGTGATTACATGTTGCAATGTATTTAATATGTGGTCCAAGATAACTCTCCTTCCAGTGTGGCACAGAGATGCAAAAAGGTAAGACACCCCTGCTTTAAAGGAAATAAACTGTATAGGCAAACCACTATTATTTATTTTAACAAATAAATTTATGGAGAATGGAGATGTTGACTGGAAATAGGCAGTGCTTTTATTATACTCAGAAGCATCAAAATCATCTGAGACACCCCTTGCTTGCCTAAATTTTAAAATCCTACACCAGCCCTGGCTGTTGTTGCTCAGTGGATTGAGCGCAGGCCTTTGAACCAGAGTATTGAGGTTCAATTAATTCCCAGTGAGGGCACATGCCTGGGTTGCAGGCAGGTTCCCGGCAGGGGACACACAAGAGGCAACCATACATTGATGTTTTTCTCCCTCTCTCCTTCCCTTCCCCTCTAAAGATAAATAAATAAAATCTTTAAAAAAAATCCCACACCAAATCCACCAATTTCTCCCTCAAAACTGTCAAAAGGGAAGTCATAACTCATCGGAAATTATTAATGCAAAGATGGCAAGGCTGTGTCTTTAAAAAATACAATGAATCACTCTTTATTTTTTACCTATCTTTTTTAATTCAAATACCACTCTGATCACTCATGATCCAAGAACATTCAAATAATAAACCAAAAAGAAACATGTTAAAGATTGGTCTTCAAATATTAGAACCAATGATTCCACGCTTGCCTCTGACTTCACAGGCATAAAACCATATCCACACCTCAGTGGCAACCAAACCATTTTGGAGAGCTTCCTTAACTGTGAGCTGCTTTGAAGATACCAATTTGAGCACTAGTGACTATTTTTTTTCCTAATCTCTGAAAAGCTGTAGGGACCTCAGCAGGGGTTGGAGGAACCAGCTCAACCATGGAATAGTGCCAAAATGTGGGTAATCAAGGCTTCAAGCCAAAGCATCTTTACCAGTGAACTTGAGGGAAAAGGGGGAAAGCTGGTTACAGACAAATTGGGCCGTGCATGGTTCAAGGATGGAAAGTCTATGTCTTCTAGCTTGAAATTTAAGGTCCTGGAGAAATAAATGGCCCTTTAAAAGTGATTCAGCAAACACTACTAAGCCATAGATGCTGCTGCTCCCAAGAGATAGTTACTTCCCATTTCAGGTTTAAAATAAAGCCCTGTCCTATAATGTAGTATCTAGTTTTCAGTGGCCAACAACTACGAATGACACCACTATAATTTATTTCACATTCAAAGTCAATTTCTGACTTCAGTCATACCAAAAAAAAAAAAACCCTGTAATTTTGGTAAGAAATCATACCTCCATCTCTGAAATATAAAAGCAATCACAAAACAGCATACAACTTGGACTACTCTGCTGTGCAAATCTCAGTTCAACCTAAATCTTTAATGTTAGCCTTATAGCAATTTCAATGGAAGTGTCCCTCAAATAATGTATATCAGGCAAAAGGTCAAGACACGTGGCTTTCTGATCTAAAGGAGATAAAATCTGGCCCCCCAAAATTTTGAAGTTATTCTTTAGCAACAAGTAGTATTCGATAGCACGTTTCACATTCAATCAGATCATTTGCAGACTAATTCCTTGCCCTAGGCCTGAGCTACAACTCCTGAGAACCTGCCAGTTTACCACACTGGTAGAAATTCCAAGTATTACCAGAGTCATGGTTACATAGAAAAATGTGAGCAGTCAGGTATTCCAGCTGAAACAATGAGGTCAAAGCTCATTTCAGTGTGAGCTTAAGTAATTCTCTGCAGAAAGACTCTGGATAAGGATGCAAAGTACTAGCCTCAAATCTGCACGTTGGCACCTCAAGGACCGCTGAAAATTCTACTGCATACCCTGGCTTTCTGGGCCAACACCGCTTAATTACTACTCTGATAGAATGCAGATAGCTCTTAGCAAAATTAAAGCAAAAGGGGGTTTTAAACCAATACTTGTGTTGTTTGATTTCAAATGTTCATATTCTCAAAAACTAATAAGGATGTCAACATCTTAATTTTAAGGTAATGAATTTATTACAAACCAGACGCCAGTTGTTTTCCACTATGAGAGTGTCATGTGAAAAGACTGCCCTTTTCCCAAATATTACAATTAGCTTTTTGTCACCTCTCCCCTTTTGTCACCCCCAAACAATAATCCAAGTTGCCAGGAATCTATGGGATACAGAACTATGGAGTAGAATATTCTTTTAATTTTTCAGGATAAATTAAAAAAACCAATTTTAGTCACTTGCTGTATAGCAAAGCATCCTACACAAGCCAATTCCTACGGATTTGAAGATCCTTGGTATGTACAACCCATAGTGTTCTGTGCCACACATAATCTGCTATAACGTCATAACATATGTTTATGGGTGAGGTAAACATTTAGAAAAACATTAATGCAGCACTCTTGTGATAACAATATCCTAAAAGGCGATGCACAATCCTTTCTTTTAGCCAAGGTACATTTGTGAAAGTTTCAAATGCAGAAAAAAATTAGATCAAACTCAACCGATGATAAAAAATGTCAGCAATGCTTTGATCAAGAATAAATGCACTGGGGGTTGGCGGGCTGGGATGGGAGTAAAAGACAGAAAACTGTACTTGAACAATAATTAAATAAAATAAAGGAAAACAAGATAACTGTACTTGAACAATTAAATTTTTAAAAAGACAAAAAAAGAAAAATGCATTAAAAGAGTCAAGTCGACAAGTTCTCAAACCTATATTGTGAGGGGGTTGTTGGGGAGTGAGTGCACAGCACTCAACCATTTTTCCTGAGGACAGAAAAAATCTAAACTTAAAGATGAACCCCTTCGTTCACAACATTGGCAGGAATAAAATCCTATTCCCGCCACCTCATCTTGCAATTAAGGAAGTTGCTACAAATAGCAGCACAAAAGTCATGGTCCCTGTTTTGCTCCATTCTTAACGTACCCTCTAGGAGTAAAAGAGATTACTCAAAAGGCACTAGGCAGAAATCGTTTTTCCCTATGCCCAACTCCCTATTCTGCGGACTTGGAAGCGGGTAAACATGGGCAGAAGAGTCCAGCAGCAGCCTGCCTTCTCCCAAGGGTTCAACGTCTGGAGTGTTCGGTGGCAAGGCTTCAGACGCGACGCTCAGCAGCCGCTGTGCCGCCTCCTGGAGTCTCTACATCCACCCAGCCCACCCAGACAATCGCCCTAGCTTTTATCAACCCCTAAAGGTGAGCTTTTTAGTCTGGATCTCCAAAGTTTGCCCAGCCTCCGACCATCAACCACCCACCGCCTGCCTGGCTGAGCCCCGGGCAAGGCTGAGTCCTGCCCTGGCTGCCAGGCCCTTCAGTCCCCAGGGTTTTGGGGGGCCATAGAGACAGGTTTACGTTTACCTCCATGTGCTCGCAGCAGAGGAAACAAAAGAAAGCCACCTCCCTGATAATAAAACGCCATCTTCAACTAATTGGCAAACTGAGGGGCCTCTGGGTTGGTCCCCCCGCTATCCGGCCCTAGGCGACGCCCCCCACCCTGATCTCAGGCGGAGTTGTAACCACCCGGGAAGCTCTGCTTAAACCTTTCGGGGTGATGGGGGGTTGGGGATCGGGGATTCTAAGATCCCTACCTGACTCCACACCCTGGTCACCGGGGCAGCGTATTTCAGTGAGAATTAAAAAGGTATGGTAGTGTCTCCCATAGATTCACTTAATCTTCTCAAAAAACTGTTCTGTAGGACCCAGTGGAGGGGTTGATGAGACAGCGAACCCGCCCGCGTGGAGCCGCAGCGCGTGTACTTACAAAGCTATTAAAGCTCCGGCGGAACATCGCGTCCAAGGCTGGGGGCGCCGAGCTGGACTCTGCCGGGCTGTACGAGAAGGTGCCGTCCACAGAACACACTGCAGTGTGGGCCGGTGGCGCCAAGCACGCGGGAAGAAGGATAACCCGCCACCAGCCCGCTGCCGCCGCCCTCTTTGGCTCTGCGCGCTCCCCCCGCCCCCCGCCCCGGCGCGCGCACCCCAACGCACCCCACACGCCCCCGCCCCGCCTCACTCTCGGCCCGCGCCCGCCAGTTCTGGGGTCTGTGGCCCTGTAGCTCCCCCTTATCTGGCTCTCCGCCGCCCCTGCGCTCCCGCAGCAGCCCGCGGAGAAGGCGCACCCGAAGCGCGAGGGAGGGAAGGCGGAGGAGCCCTAGACTCCTCCTGCGGTGAAGGGACCTCCCTATCTCTCCGCTGGCGCTGGCGCCGGACTCGGCCCCCCCTATCTGCACTCTTACCCGGAGCAGTGCCACCGCCCGCCCCCCCCCCCCCCTTGGCGAGCCCGGGTGCTTCCGCCCCACTCCGGGCTGGGGGGTGGGGGCGGGGACTCTCCAAGGTACCTAGCGCCTCACCTTGCCTCAGCCCGGCTCTACTCCGCTGGCTCCGAGGCGAGTCACAGCCTCCCCTGCCCCGGCCCTAACTCCGCCACGGCGCCGCTTCACTCGCAGCCCCTCCTCGGTCCGCGACTGCCGCCGAGCCCCGCGCTTTCGTCCGGCACCCGGGCTGGGGAGCCACAGTGCCGCCCAGCAGCCCACCCCGAACCCACGAGGCAGCAGGTCTGAGAGCAAGGAGTGGCAGAGCACTGTAGAGACCCCTGAGCAAGCAAGGCAGGGGAACTAGTTATGAAAGCCGCCCCGTTGTCATCTGGAAAGGCGCGGGCCACCCCACTACCTTCGCGTAGCTCCGCTCCCACCTACGCGGCTGTTTCCCCCCTTAGTTCTTTCTCTCGTCCGGTAGCCCACCTAAGCCATCTTACTTCCACTTTCTCAAAGCTAGTTAAGTCAAGCTTTTTGTTGCCACTGCGTAGCAGGGCGGGGTTTCCCTGCCCCTCCACCTCAAACCCCGCCTCCTCACCTCCAACCCCGCCTCCTCACCTCCATCCCCGCCCCTCGCACTTCTTGCGGAGGAGCCTGGGAGTTGTAGTACAACCCTACCTCTAGTCCGTCTTGTACTGCGGGCTGGGAGCTCCCCCACTCGCCCGTGCAGGGTTTGCCCAGAGGGTTGACGGAGGAAGCTGCTGAGACCGCCTGGCCCAACCGTGGTTCTCCGCACTGGCTGGATGTGGAGGCCGGGAGCGCTTGGTAGATTGTGTGCGGTGGGATATGTGAGAGGGATAAATGAGACGAAGCCCGGAAGGCTGGTAGCTGTCCCTAGGGTGTGGAAATTGTGAAACCCTCTACGCCCTCGGCTCCTAGTTTAGAACCGTAATTTGAGAAACTAAAAATGAGATATGAAAGCTGAGTCTAGAATTGCTCCGAGACTGGGCATCCCAACCCCCACCTGTTTATGGCTTGCCCCGAAGCCGTTAAACAACTTTCGAATCCCTATATGAAAGTAAAGAACTAACTGCACTTACCAGAGCCTTCTGACGCATCACATTCTCGTGCCAGTCTAGAGCTGAAGATAGGGTCCAGCTACGCAACGGGCTTCCCCTCAGGTGGTGAAGGACCGTTAACGCTATTCACAGGCTCTTCCTTTCCTCTTAGGGGTTCATACTCACTTCAACAAACCATTATTGGGCATTTTCTTTGTACCGTGCAAAGTGATAGGGGCTGAACTCAGTGACTACCTGAAAGACCTCCTCAATAGGCTGGTTGCAGTCTAGTCAGGTGATAACTGCTGGAGTAGAGGTTCGAAAGCGGGGGGTGGGGGTGGGGGCAATATTGCATCTGAAAAATGGGTCTGGGAAGCTTTTCTGAAATCGCTGAAGATTAAACTGGACCTTGAAGCGTGTGGAGATTATACAGGAGCTGACAAAAAGAGTCGAGTTGAGCCAAGCCCAGGGGGGAGGGACAGGTCCATGAGAAAGTACAGAACAAGCTAAGAAAAAGAACACAGTGCCCTGGCAGACACCCAGGATGTGTGAGCGGGGGCGGCAGGCATGAACTAAACCCAAAAACAATCTTCAAAAATACACTATGAAGTTTGAACTTGATTCTTTGAGTGAGGAGCCCATCCCCAAAGAAGTGCAAAGGACAGACGTAAGGTATGTTCCAAAACCACCCTTATTGCCAAGACGTAAAACCGTACGAATCCAGTTCTTTCCCTATTGTGGTTCCATCAATTTGCTCACACTTGAGAGTGTATCTAATGATTTTTGAGGTTTATGTTATGTGTATATTAATGAGACATTAGGATATTTTATTTTATTGCAAAATGGATCTAACCTCTTGCTATCTACTATTTCAAAGATCTATTTTTCAAATAGAGTTTATTTTCTGGCTTTACTTTTATTGAACACAGCAACTAATGTAATGTAACTCACTAATTATTTATTGAACATCTACTATGTAAAAGGCCCTATTCTAGATACTGAAATTTGGGGTGGAAGAAGTTATTGTTGTTTGTGGTAGGCATTAGATTAGAATCCTTATCAGTAAAATACATAATAGGAAATGAACTTAATAAAATTACTGTATTTTCATATACAATTTTTTAACAAATGGAAAAATGTATTTTTGCTTATGGATTCAAACAGATGAACTTAAAAATTAGAGAACTGGACATTGTTTTGCAGTGTTCTCTCACACACCATTGTGTATTATCTCACATGCCATTGTCCTGTTGCCCAGATTAAAAGCAAACCATTTAGCCCCAAGATATAGCAGTTATGTTTGTCATATTTTCATTTGTTGTTATAGTTCCACTATCTCAATGTCCTCCTAATTTACTTCATCACAGCATGTATATTCATGGTTTAGACTAATTTGCTTGAGTATAAAAATGCAATTCCACACAAATCAATATATGCTCAGCAAAACATGAAATTTATGCAAGGTAATTTTTTTCCATATTCAAACTCAACCTGAAATTAGAGTTGCCCTCACACACATGTTTTAGAGTTACTTTCCTTTGAGTTATTTTTTAAGACAAGAAGAACTCATTCTTGTTCTTTTCAGTGCCTCTTCACAGCTTCTAAAGAAAACCCAGGTGTTGTAGAAAGCTGTTGTCAATGACTATGAAAAGCAGACCTTCAGCCTGCATTTTTATTTGGCCAACTCCATAAACAGAACTGCAAAAACTAACTTCCAGCCTAAACTGTCGGAAGCCTCGGTATATATAACACCAACTCTTGTAGTGTAGCAGCTGACTGCAGCAGAAGTCCTGATCTCCTGCCGGCAGGAATTGTGAGGAAGCAGTCTTCTGTCCTTTTCACATCTTGCCTAGATATAATGCTTACTATAGGATAAAGGGAAGGGAACGTGTTCTTCCTTGACTATTTTAATTCTGCTGCCCCATTTCTGTGCAAGTCTCTCATAAGCCCTTCTTCTCTATTGATCCCCTTGTTCTTTTCCACCTTTTACCTCAACCCCTCAGAAATCTCACCATGGCAAATGGGCAGAATAAAGTCTCGGGCACAGGATGCAGTCCACAATTACGAAGGAGGGGAGTGCACTCCTTCGCAAACAGCCAGTTGGTCAGCAATTCAGGAATCCAGCAAGAAGGGGATGGTAAGAAGGAGCCACTTCCTTCATCTAATACTAAAAAAAGAAAAGAAAAAAACTGAAGCTGTTATATCAGCATCTAAATCAGTGCCATCAGCAAGTTGAAGAAATTCAGGTGTCTTTGCTGAGCTTTCAAACATACCTCATAAAACTACCTTTTGCCCATTTGAAAATTTTTTCTCCCTTCCAAGACTTGCCTTAATGTTTATTTTAGACCAGCTTTACTCATATTTCCTAACTGTCGGCCCTCTCCAATTCATTTTTTTACACTGCAACCACAGAAATTTTTGGAGGATAGATCAGATTAAATCATTCCCTTGTTTGTGACTTTTCAGTAGCTTCTCATGACTGTTAGGATAAGTCCCAAATCTGGCTTTATCATCATTTACATGGCCCTGAATTCTCTGATGCCTGCCTTCCTCTCTAGCCTCAGTGTGCCTACTCTCCCCCTCACTCACCAAGTTCCACCCCACTCGACACCTTTCTTCCCTTGAGTTTCCAAAGATCCTTCTCCCTTGACAGCTTTTGTGCATGCAACCATCTCTGCTGGAATGCTTTCACATGGCCTTTGCTATTCATCTTTCAGATTTAAGCTTAAATTACACTTTGTCAGGTGAGATCAAGGCTACCTGTTATAGTGCTCCAAATAGTTCATATTAATGACATGGAGGGTACTGACAAATGAAGTTAGTAATCATGGAGCACAGCAAAGGACATTGTGGATGATCTAGTGTTGTTTTGCTTTTCAAAAAGGGGAAGTTGGTGTATTCTAGTAATCATGATATTAAAGGGATACACATTTCTAGAACAGACTGTTAAAAAGATAGGGTATTTTTTTACAGTTGAAGAAAAGAGGCAATCACTAGGAACCACAGTGAAGTCACTAAGGTATAGTTTGGCCTTCAAGATCATGAGAAAATTACTTCTAATTCACAATGCTACCTCCTCCCAGATGATATGGGGAAACTGGACAGAGAAGAGGTTAAAAAGGTTATGGCATAGGAAGAGAAAATCTTTATCATCCATAATAAGAAGGCTTTAACTTAAAATATATCAGTATAGTTAGATTATTTAGAAATAAAGAGGTATATACCAGAAGAAACAGCTAAAATAATGGAAAGTACTTGCCTCTAGGAGCACAAATTGAGAATGGAAAAGAATGGGATAAAGGACTTTTATTTTTCCTCTTTATAGGTCTTATAACCAACTTGTAAACTATGTGCATATATTATTTTCATAAACATAAAAATTTGTTCAAAATATAAATAGCATTTGAACCTACAAACAGGAAGTTGGAGAGCATTCTAACCAAGAGAAACAGTGATGATGTAGAGATAAAAGTGTTCCAGCAAATGGTAAGTGGACCTGCCTACTGGAGCAACTGGTCCATATTGAGGATTAGTAAATGATATAAAATATAAACCTCCCTTCTCAGGAAGCCACTGGAATATGCATTCCATCATATGAGAGACTAAACCAAGAAAGATATGTAACCCAGAAAATGGGGTGTGAACATAAAAAAGAAGTGAAG